AGGGACTTGGTAAGTTAACTCACGGAGACTGATGAGCGCCCAGGGGAAGCTGACTGACCCCGTCCTGTTTGGGATGCCGAGCAGGTGGTAAGGCCATTCACCAGAGTGGGCAACCAGCACGAGGCGGCGGCGGAAGGCGGGCAGGTCATTTTGCACTGGCAAGTGCGAGAGAGGTGGTGACATTCAAGGGTGGTGTGAAGTGGGCAGCAGGCTCATGAATACTGGACAGTGAGAAAGAAGCCAAGGCAAACTGACACGCTTAAGGCTCAGTCTGCACTCAGAGGAGGGCTGAGGTCCCGTGAGTGGCTGAACTATCTAGTGCTACTGTACAGTGAGATTTGAACAAAAATAAGGAAGGAACCATGGGGAACACAAAGTTTCAGGGAGAGAGGACAGGTGCAAAGAGCTGATGAGAGCAACAAATGAGAAAAGTTCTGGAAGAACAAAGCAGGACGGAGTGGTGAACGATATCAATGTCCACTGGCTTTAGAAAAAGGCATCAGCAGGCAGAGCAAGCCCAGGAAAGCCCTCAAGTGCCATGATTTTGAAGTCTCACACAAACACAACTGAGGTGGATGGGATTCGGAAAGCATCAGCCCTGGAACTTCTGACTGCAGCTGATACTCTAAGGTAAAGAGGAGCAAAGACGAAACGGAAGACAGGACAGTGAAGACGGACCAAGAACCTGTGCCAAACAAACTCAGCAAGTATTTCTCTTTCTCTGCAAACAAGGATGCAATGGGCACATGACTTAGGGGCTGTGGGTTCAGCTGGCACAATCCTCACGTGCCCCCTGCGGTGTCGCTGAGGCGGGGATCAGCAAGGCGCAGAGCAGCCGCACGCAAAGACGCACCTCCTCCAGCTCCTCAGGGGCACAGGGGGATAACGCGGACGCCAGGTAAAACACAAACGCACAGCAAGAGCTGATGGGAGCTAACATCAGACATTTATATAAAAGCTGGGGGACTTATTTTAGAAAAAGAGAGAGGAACATTCTCTTATACGCTAAGATGCCTATTGTTTATCCAAAGCCCCTCTAGTAGCTAAACTTTTCTAAGCAGATTAACATAGATCAGGGTCTCGTTATTGATTCCATACTATGTTTAAACACAGTTATATTTCAAGTGTGCTATAACCAGCTATTTTTATACCCTTAAAACTCTAGACAAATGCAAGGCCCAAACAACTGTATCATATCACCTATTCTGAATAAATATTAATCTGTTAATAAATACTACTCCCACAACTACTATAAAATTGTGCAATCACAAGGCTAACCAGAGAGCATGAACGTCACATATCCAAGGGTGAGCATGTAGCCAGTGTTTAAGATTCCTGCATTTCTTGGGGCCGGTGCTATGGCGCAGCAGGTTAATGCCCTGGCCTGAAGCGCCGGCATCCCATATGGGCGCCGGTTCAAGACCCAGCTGCTCCACTTCCTATCCAGCTCTCTGCTATGGCCTGGGAAAGCAGTAGAAGATGCCCCAAGTCCTTGGGCCCCTGCAACCACGTGGGAGACCTAGAAGAAGCTCCTTGATCCTGGCTTCGGATTGGTGCAGCTCCGGCCCGTTACAGCCAAATGGGGAGTGCACCATCAGATGGAAGAACCCTCCCCCCCGGTAACTCTGACTTTCAAATAATAAATAAAATAAATCTTTAAAAAAAAAGAAAAGAATCCTGCATCTCACACTGTGGTATGGGGATGACACCTAGCTCCAGCTTCTGACTGCTAAGGCAACAGGGATACAGCTTCAGGAACTGGGGCCCTGGATTGAATTCTGGTTTCCGGTAGAAGTGCAGATCAGCTGGAGTCATTATGGGCATTTGGGGAATGAACCAGCAGACAAAGAGAACTCTCTGCCTTTCTGTCTCTTAAATGAATGACAAAAATAAAACTTAGAAACCTTGAACTGAACAGAATCCTCAGACTGAACAGAAGTAGATTTTTAGATGAAAGATGGGTCAGAGCTTCCTACTTGCCCTGAAAGAATGAAGGTACTTCCAAAATTCATTGAAAAATGGGCATGAAAAATTAAGTTTATTTTGGGGTAAAAAATTTTGAAACCCGTATATAGTTTTTCCATTAATATGTATGTTCTGTGATTTTTTTTGAAGACCCTTTGTATAGGGAACAACATTCAGCCATAGAATTCTTAAAAACTCAAAAAACCATATGTCATAAAAAAAATCTCAATTTTGGTAATAAAAGGAAAAATAATAATTTATTCCACAAATATTTTAAAAAAATTATTCCTAATGACCTTTAAGTCTGGCAGATCACATACAATGAAAGAAAAACTATGCTTCTACAAGCACTAAATTAATGTCTTTATCTAAAACAGATCGTGTTGTATCCAGCCATGGTGAAGAAGGTGGGCGGATCTGTGTAGCATGGGTAGGTTTTAGATCGCTGCTAACTTAAGGTTAAATATAGATGTTTCTCTGGAGTTTATGAACACAACTTTCTGGGAAAGAAAAATAAATGGGGTCAAACAACTGGCTCAGACTCAGTATTGCTAAGACAAGTTCAGGGGATGGTAGCAGCCCCTTAGCATTTATGACTACTTATGATTCAACTGAGAGACCCCTATCATAACAGATCAGTTCCCCATGGTTAAATGTAAGTGGCAGCCGGACAGGGCTGGTATATAGCAGAAAGTCAAACAGATGGAGGGGGCCCAGCCAGGCCCTCACTTCCGTATCTCATGAAGACTGCAAAGTTTTCCCCTGTGTTTGATCACATTACATGGAAAAAGTTATATTCTATGGTATACTTTATGAATCTAGGGATTCATGAAGGACTCAGAAAGTAGTCCCCAAATATTCCTGAAATCCCAGCAAAACAGCTTCTAAGGCTGTTCCTTCTATTTATGCCTAGAGGTATGATAACACTGCGTGTCTGAAAGTTAGGAGTGATGGGATAGGAAAATGAACTCTAGATTTTCACAAAAGATGACCACCCATCTCATCACCACGTACTTCAAAATGAAGGTGACCCAGGGAACCCTAAAGTGCTGGGAATGCAGGCTGAGATCTCCCCAGGCACCCACGCCATCCATCTGAAGATGTAAATCTGAGTCCCAGGACTCAAAGAACACCTGAAACCAAGACGCGGGAGCAGGTGGGGAGAGGAGGTCGCCGGAGGCCCCAGTCCTGCTGTGTCATCTCTGGGTAAAGGCTGCTGCTCCATCGTACGGGGGGAGCCCTCGCACGTGTCCCCCCATCCCTCCAAGGCAGGCAGACACCAGTTTACACACAAGAAACCTCCCGAACTCCAGGAGCCTCACGCAGGAGAAACGGCCTTAGGCACGCCCCAGCACTGGGGGCTCCTTGCCTCTTTGGGTGACAGTAAGCTCTGAGAGATATTTTCGCTTCTGGAGGTCAGCTGAAGTTTTTTCTGCTACAAGCTTTAGCTTTTGTGGCAGAAGTAGTTCAACATGGTATCAAACACATTCTGCCACTTCACTGTACAGACACTGCATAAAGGAGATGCCACGAACCGCTGCACTTGTGAAAGCACCCGGACTGCTCTGGAGGGAAAGAAAACAGCACCGAGGGGACAAAGTCTTCCTCGGAGCGAGCACGTGTCCTAGGTTCATCTTTCCAAACAGGGGCCAAGTCATGCGGTCCAGCTAGCACACACCTTGGGAAGAGCCAAGTTTGGAATGTGTGGGACAAAGGACGCATTCAGAGATCTACTGGATGCTTTTCCTCCTCAAAAACAATGAAAGCAAGAAGAGTCCAGATGGGAACAGGGCTACTAGGGAAGAGGACTCTTTTACAGCGATAAAGAGTGATGCTCTGTAAATCAATCTCTAAAAGCTAATCAGGGATTCTAGGAAGACAAGTCTCTTTTGTCTGTTTGCTATCACTATACCATTTCTGAACGGCATCCTGTAGTCTGTAAAAGCTGCAGCTTTCTCTCCCCTACCGGGCCCCTGACGACTGGGGGATCACTTTCCTCAGCCCCCTGCTCTTCCTGGACCTGGTATCTGCAGCTCAGATGAGCCAGGAGTACATTCTAGCCTTTGCAAAGACTCATTCTCACTCCACCTCAGTTCTGGGAACAAAGCCTTCCTCCCACCCCACCCCGAACTCCACCAAGGTTTTGCACCAAGACATTGTGAGATGTGGTCAGGCTAACCACAGGTGACAGCACAGTGGACGGACAGAAGGAAGAAGTCGGTGTCTTCTAGCAGGTTTGCAAACTCCTTCCTTCATTCGCACACCTAATTCAAGATAACAGAATTTATAGTGCAATTATGTAAAAGTTCACAGCAACTTTTTATCCACATCCTTAAAGTACTTAATCCAGTGTTTTTTTAAGCCTAGCATCTATCCACAGTGCTAAGGGGGCCCTGTGGTCTGCTCTCCTTTGGGAGGGACTCTGCCATGACTCCCAGCTTAACAAGAAGCCTTGGTTTCTTAAGCCGCTAGACTCCTCCCCTTTTGCTGCTTATTTTACTCTGAACTGGATGTTTAGAACTAGCCCTTTGTGACGCCTTCTCCCCCCTCATTTCTTCTATTTACAGAGCAGTGGAAAATATTTGTGTTCTGCCAATTTTCCTTTCTCACAATTCCTATTAACAGAAGTGCCACGAACACAGAAAGTCAACCAAAAGCCTTCATTCTGTTGCGCCTCTCCTATCGCTTGTCGCGGAATGATGAAGGCCATCAAAGGTAACGTGGTCACTGTCACCTGGACGTCTGCTAAGTTCCAGTTCCCCTGGCCACTACACGTGCAGTGCTCATGTCTGTTGATAATCACATAGGAGTTAAAGAACAGAGAAAAAGCACCATCACACAGAGCTGAATGCTTTGCTGGAACACACTGCGCTAACCTTTACAGCTTTGGGGTGCCAGGGCGCTTTGACAGGCTACCACAGCAATGCATGTCACTCGCAGTTCTTGGTTTCTAGCAAAATACAGAAAGGCTTAAAGGCAGCAGTGATAGGTCTGGTGTTACTTAAATACTTGGAGCACAGAGGAAGGCCACTCACCGCCTCTCCAGTGGGCGCCCGTCACTGGAGATGCTCCGAGGAATGTTGGCGGCTCTTTCTGGAGGAGGCATCTTGCCGTCTCCCTTCCCAGCATTCAGCCGTGGCGCCATGGGGCTCGGCACCTGTGCCGGGACCTGCGGGGCAGGCGGCCCCTTGCCCGCACCCCGCTGCCATTTGTTGTTGTTGCGGAAGGGGAACTTGAACTCGTAGGAAACACCGTCATTCACTTTGTACTCCATCACAGGCATGCGGAAGGTCTCAGAGCAGCTCCTACAGGGGCAGGCACAGAAGAACCATCAGCATAGCCGCTTCTTGTGTGTGGAACCCCCACTGAATCCCCTTAATGCTTAAAATGGGCCCAGAACCCCATCCTCTACTTCAAACTATCTTTTAGTCTTTGGGCCATGTAATTATTCTCCTTGCAAAAATCAGAAGCTTGGGATATAAAACACACCAGTCTTCTTTTAGTTGATGCCAACTGTTGAGTCTGAAAACGTGGGGTCTCTACCTAAACAGAAAGGGACCATGGTCACTCTGGGGACACAGGGTCATACTGAGATGGAGAGAAAGCCACTAGAACCACAGGGCAGAGGAGCAGACCCCAGCACAGGTTCTGGGAGGAAAGAGGCCCGAGCCTTTGTACAACCTTCACTGTGAGTTACAACTGGAGGCCTGAAAGTGGGTAGTTTCAAATGCACTGGGATCCCAAGAGTCAAGAAAGTAAGCGGGGGAGGAATGCTGAATCCAAAGAGAGTCAAATTTAGCTCAGAAGGAGAGGGGACAAAAACCAATTATAGAAATACTGAAATTAACAAGTTCCTAGGGAACGAAGTATAATCTGAAAGACATTTTTTCTTTCCCCAAAGAAAGAATTGTCCCACAGCAGAGCCATCCCCAAGCAGTGAAATCACTGTGCACCACAATCTCAACCCCCCAACCTGCAGGAAGTCTGGAACCCATCTTGCATTCCTTTGACCCAAAAGACAAAGAGAGATGCTCTCAATTATTCACTTGATTGATAAACTAGTTACAGCATTAACTCAAACTATATTTGAATTTCATCACTAAGTGGGAAGTGATTTCCTTGCTTAAAGGAATTTCAAGGTCTGGAAAGCAGGAGAGATGTGGACATGGGAGGCTAACAGCACAATTGTGAAAGAGCCCTGTATCAGTCACTTTAGGGATAACATAAACAGAACAGAGACCAAGCCAGCACTGTGCAATAGAAACAGAAGGTAGGCTACAAATCTAAGTACGAAATTTCTAATCATCATATTAGAAGAGCAAAATGAACTCGGTGAAATAGTACAATTTAACTCAATATATCAAAAATGTTCTTAACATGCAATGAATATTGAGAAATTACTGACTTTACAGTTTCCTAAATATGATGTACATGTTAACACCGAGCTAAACCTCAGCCACCTACTATTTCTCCCTGCATCTTATGGTGAGAGTAACCACCTCCTGGCTTCCTGGTCTATTCTTATCTGCAAAATGCAAGAATGATACGGAGAATCAGGAAGTGGACAGTACACAGAAGAACGAAGATAAAACCTGGCTTTTAAGGCCATGCATAAACGTTCCTTGAAGAACTTTCGTCACAAGCAAGCTTTGGTGTTGTAGGGTGGTATCTAGGGATCCATGCACATGCTACCCTAGAGCAATGGGAGGCCAGCCTCATTTTGATCCCTAGCTAAAAAATGCTACACTACGGATCCCAGCTCTCATCTCACTTAAGGCTTTAACGACGTTCAAAACCCAATTAAAGAGCTGTGGTTAGGCAGGAATTACCATATCAAGGCTAAAAGTGACAAATGGTGACACTGAAACAAATTAACTGAAAACCAATTCCATTTTCTTACAGTTTTTTAGTCATTTTCCCAACTTCCGCTTTCCATTTTTTGTTTCTCATCACTCTCTACTTTTTTCTTACAACATGATGAAGCAGAGAGAAATGGCTGAGCGGAACGCCAAACACCAGACCCGAGTCAGGGGGGTTTTCTGCTGGAGCTTGGCTGCTTATCAGCTGTGTGATGAGGGCATGGGAGAGCACACAGCTCCTCTGAACCTACAGTCTTCCCAGAAAAAAGAGGTCTGAACTAGACGACTCCTAATAGCCCTTAAGTCTGCTTCTGCATTCAAATACTTGTTTTTAAAACGAAGTAAAAACTTCATGACCTGTTCTTATGTAAGAGGTAATTTGGTCTCTCTAGGCACCTTGTTGTTAGCCTGTAATGATCCTTGATTGCTTCCTTTAAAAACTGCAGGCTCAGGAGGGGCAGAGTTGTGGCACACCTCTGCTGGGTTCAAGTTCGGCTATTCCGTGCTTCTGACCCAGGTTCCTGCTAATATGCCTGAGAGGCAGTGGATGATGACCCAGGTACTCGGGGCCCTGACAAACACATGGGACACTCAGATGGAGTTCTTGTCTTCTGGCTTCTGCCTAGCCCAGCCCTGGCTGTTGCAGGAATTTGGAGAATGAACCAGCAGATAGAACATCCTTCTCTCTATATCACTCTGTCTTTCAAATAAATAAAACTTAAATAAATAAACAGAAAACAAAAACTTGCAGGCTCATGGCCCTCAGCAGAGCAGAAGTTCACCACTCCCATGCAGTACCATCCAAACACCACAACTGAATCTGTTCCAGATAGTTTTCACCTCATCAAGACAGTGAATGAGACTCAGAGGTCACGTCTGCTGGTCATCTCGACGCCGCCTCCCGCAGAAGGGGCCACTCAGGGCAGGGTCCCAGTGAGGGCCACCAGGCTGCTCAATGCCCTCATCTCACTCTCAGATCCACTCTGTGGAAGGTCACAGGGCCTCTCCAAACTTCACTCCCTTCACTGCTTTAATGGACATGAAGTTGCCCAGAGGATTGAAAAAGAAAAATGCTCTCCTTATCCTTTCTTGTTTTCAAAAATCTTAGTTTGAAGCAAACCATAAGAGGGGTCTGTTTGTTTTACAAACAGGGTAAAGAGCTCTATCTTATGTTTGTTCTTTAAATATCATCTTTTAAAATGCTAAACTGGATTTTATGTTTAAAAAAAGAGCTAGTTTTTCTGAAACAAATGACTCTCCTACGTGGACATGCAAACCCATGGGGCTGCATTACATGCTGTGGCTGCGGAGCGGCCAGCCCGTGACCCTGAGAACCTGTGGCCGAGGGGCAGTCAGCCCCAGGGAGGCCTCCTCTGCCCCACGCTGGAGCTGCAGCAGCAGCTGACAAAGCAGTGCCTTGTCAGAGAACAGAGTAATTAAGTCTCCAGGAAAACAGCAGTGGGAGTGTGAAGTGCGGAGGAGAGGAAGAAATGACAGAAGAGCATTATCTTATTTTGTTGAAATTGTAAAAAGGTGTTACTGCTTCAGCTGCTCTCTCTGAAGTCACTCCCAGACGAAGGAGGGGGCACGCTGAGGAGCATCAGTGGTGCCGCTCCCCACCTGCTCGGAACAAGGTCAGCGCTTTGCACATGGAAACTGTAGGGAACAGGGCAGGGTGTGCTCAAGGCCTGGAGCTGTGCACAACCCTGACCCCGTCCTTGGCCTCATCCCAACTCCGACCCCCATGCCACCGGCAGCTGGCCAGTCGTGGGAGGCCCACATCAGTGCTGCACCACATACCCTCAGTGGCACTGCAGCCAGCCTGCGTGGGCTTGCAGGAGTCAGCGGTCTGCCTCCAAGGATGTCACACTGTAGCATGAAGTCCCTCACCGTGGGAATTACTTACACCACGGGAATCAGCAGGGTCTACAAGCACTGCCCACCCTAGTGCACGTGAAGGAGGGACTTGGGCGAGCAGACAAAGCAACACAGAGCTCAGACCCAAACTTGCCAGAAGACTTTCTGAGTCTGAGTAATAATACTACAACTGCCTAGTGTTGTTGGAAGGACCAAAGGCACTAATCCATATAACAGTGCTTTTTCCAGGACCTGGCACATTCAAGTCAACATAAACTTTGTTTTGTTTTGTTTTAAAGGCAGAAATAGAGAAGGAGAGAGATAGAGAATCTTCCATCCTCTGGTTCACTTCCCAAATAGTTGTTAACAGTCAGAGCTGGGCCGATCTAAAGCCAGGAGCTTCCTCCGGGTCTCCCATGCGGGTGCAGGGGCCCAAGCCCCTGGGCCATATTCAGCAGCTCTCCCAGGCGCATTAGCAGGAAGCAGTCTAGGGCTGGAACTGGTGCCCATATGGGATGTGGCAACCTAGGCAGAGGCTTGACCTTCTACGCCACCATGCCAGCCCCAACATTAATTACTTCTAGCTGTAGCATGGGAGATAAACCTCGTCTAGTACACTGCTATAGACAAACCACCTCCTATGGTGGATCTGTCTGTCCAGGGCCAGGCCTTAGACCCATCTATCTAGTAACAACTGCCCACAATGTCAGTGTCAGCAATGGCACCTCTTCCTGTGCACACTCACGCCCATGTATTTCCCTTCACACATACCCCAACCCTGACTCCCCGTCTCAAACCCGGGAGCCTAGAAATGAGGGAAAGACTCTGAGCAGCCAAGGTAGCCTCATTTCTGACAGAGTCTCCTTGGACTCTAACGCTTCCCCGTGTGTCACTCAGGCTGACAGTTTACAAAGCGGGGTGTTCCTCCCCAGTCCCTAACCGCCTGTTCAGAGGCAGGCATTGTGGCACAGGTGGCTAAGCTGCCACTTGTGATGCTAGCATCCCATACGAGTACTGGCTAGAGTCCCGGCTGCTCCGCTTCTGATCCAGCTCCCTGCTCATGTGCCTGGGAAAGCAGAAGATGGCTCCAGTACTTGGGCCCCTGCCACCAACAGGGGAGACTCAGATGGAGTCCCCGGTTCCTGGCCTTGGCCTGACCCAGCCCTGGATGTTGTAGTCATTTGGGGAGTGAAACAGAAGAAGTAAGATACCGCTCTCTCTCTCTCACTGTCACTCTGCTTTTTGAATAAACAAATTAAAAAAATTTTTTGAAGTAAGTATCTATTTTGGTTTCCAGGAAGACCAAGTCAGTCACATAGAAGACATTAGTTCTGAAAGCTATGAGACAAAGGGTTTTGCTGTAATTCTGACACAGGTACACCATCGCTGACCATCATGGGTAAGCAGCATCCACACTATAGCTGTGAGTGAAGCCCGGCTCTAACACTTGATCGGGAGAATTAAAGTACATTTATGTTGTGATTCCTGTTTACTTTTTTAAAAGCGTACATATAACCCATTTATATTCCACCAACTGATAATCATACATCCACGAGAGCTCAGGGGAAGGACTGGTTATTTTTTTTTTTTTTAGAACTATAGAATAATTAAGTCTTGGTTTAGGAGCCCTAAGAATTAATTGCCAGTGCTTAAGAGAAATCATTAAATTACTAGAAAACAAGAGAGTGCAGAAAAAAAAATTCCAGATCTTAAAATACTACCAAAAGTAGCAAGTGCATGCCCAAGGGAGAAGAGAATCAGTCAATTAAATCTGACCCATCAAGAACCACACCCAGAAACAGAGGAATGAAACTTCCAGCAGTGCTGTGGTGTGGTGGGCCATCAGAGGGCAGGGAGTTCCTGGGCTCCGCCTTTGGGAAACACAGGTACCCAACTGCCCAAGCACCGCCAGCACCGGCACGTGCAGAGCCCAGTGCAGACAAAGCCCAGGCAGTCCCGTTCAGCTCTTTCGACTGCGAGGGCAGGGATGGAAACAACACTTTGAGCTGTGGACAGCAACTGGGTACAAACAGGACAGAGAGCACAGAATAGGAGTGTCATGGAACACACTAAGAAAATAAGCTGGCAGTTTGAGATGCTGATCATCTTGATGGTAAATGTTCAGTACTTCTCAGCTACTGGTGCAAGACAAGCTTAAGACAGGCATTAGCAGACTGCTGGATCTGTTAACAGCAACTCTGTAAATCCAGAGCCTGGGAATGGTCCCAGTTCATTCCTTCCAGCTGCTGCTGCCACATGCTGGGAAGGAGCTGTGTCATGACTCAGACTTTCCAAGGATGGAATTCCTGGCACTGCATATAATCTAATGCTCCTCTCAGCACTTTGCCCAGGAAAAGACGCCGTACATGATACACAAACCCTGTCCTCTAAGGCTCACAGGTGCCAACCCAGACCTACCTCCGCGGGGTGCAGTCATCGTGGGGAGGGATGATGACAACCTTCACCGTGACAGAGGTTCTCAGGAGATCGATCATTTGCTCATGGCTCAGAGTGGCCACGGCTACCTTGCAGATCTCTACCAGGCGGCTGCCCTGCCTCAGCCCTGCCTGCCAGGCATAGCCGTAGGGCTCCACGTCTGCCACGATGCCCTCGTAGTTGACGTGGAAGCCAAGCTGTCCTAGCCCATTTCTTCGCAGAGTCATCTCCACGGATTCGCAACCTTTTGAAACAAACTAGACAGGGAAATAAAAGAGACTGTGGTTTAATCCAGTAAGGCATTAAGTTGTGGACATGGGACTGGAAAAACACGCAAGCAAGGTTATTTCTGAACACTGCTGCCAGCTGCCCTCACTAGTTTCTATTCATTAGGCCAAGAGGAACACACTCACTGCGGCCAAGCAGCTCACTGGCTTCTCGGAAGCTACAAGGGAACCTCTGACAAAGACCTACAGGGAGCTGGCGGCGAAGAGAAACCGCTCTGCTACTCATTTCGCCCTTCAAAATTCAAGGCAGCACACACTGAGTCTAAAGAGTCTCTTCAATAGGGACACCAGATTGTCTGGAGTGCAACATCAGTCACCAAGGCAGTAGGATCAAGGCCCATGTAGAAGGGCTTCCCACACACACACACACACACACACATGCACGCACACACGCTCACAGTGTGTGGTCCTCCCCTACTTGTTTTGCCACACAGCTCCAGTGTGAGACCAACTCCGGGTTGCTTCACACCATCAGAGCAGCAAATAAAATAGCCCAGGTTCCAGGCACTTGGCTGTAGCTGCACTGAAAGCTTTATGAAAGGGAAACTGCACGTATGGAGGTGGGAGGGAAAGACTGACCTGCAACCTCTTGACAATCTCTTTGATATCCTCGCTGTTCATGAAGCTCTCTACGGAGATGCATTCTCCCCGCTCATAGAAGATTCTGAGGCTGGTGTCCGCTGACGTCCACCCTATCACATCCCTGCAGGAACAGTTGAAAACCACGCTCTTGGTCTCCTGCTCAATGAGCACGATGAACTCGTTGGAGATTCCTAGCAGGCAGTCTATTTCCATGGCCGTGTTGTAGTCTTTGGCCCGGACGGCCCACACGATGGCTCCCATACTACTGAGCTCAGCTCCTGGGTATGGCTTAGACTTTTCTTTTTTCTTAGAGGCCAGAGAGATGAATGGGAACTTGCCAGAAGGGTCGATAGGAGTGTTGGTGACATTCTTTTCTGCCAGATCTTTCAGGTATTCCTGACGTGTCCGAGTGGCCATGGCTCGAAATTTTTCTGATTTATGAGCAGCATTTTCCGCATTAATCACTTTGGCCAAGAGGAAGTCCCTGAACACATTTGACTTAGGGAAGGTGACTCCTTTAGGGATGGGAGGCCCAAAGGAAGGCACATCTCTGGATCTGGTGACAGCCACACTGAGAGTCAAAGCAGAGAGAGAAAGGTGTGTCATTTCTCAGTCTCACCACATGCCAACAAAATGCACTATCAGAGAGACAAAGACAAAGCCCAGAGGCAAAATAGCTGCTCATTTTCCTGCAAGAAACAATACATGTTTCTACTCCATATGAACATCCTTTTTCATTCAACCACTTAGGATTTATAGAACAGAAAACTTGTTTTAGGCAAAAAAGTCTAAAACATCAAAAAGCTTAAAAGTACAAACTTCCTTTCCTTTGAAAGGAAATTAACCATTAAAAAATTACCACTATATTTCCATAGAGACATTTTGAATACTCATACCTACTGACTGTTTCCAAGGTGGAGGGAGGGAGGGGGAGGGCCCATTATAATGATATAACCTTTCAGAACCAAGCACATTTTGTAAGAACATAAATGTGTTCTCCATTTTAGATACAATGAGTTGTATGGATTATAATGAAAATATGGATTATAATGATGGATTATAATGAAAATATCTGAAGATGCAGCATATGAAAGAAATGGGGTTAAACTTTTAAAGAACTTATTTGTTGATTTACGTGCAAGGCATTATGCAGAACAAAAATGTAACTTTCAAATGAAATTTGGAATGAGCAATAAAATGATTATGATATTTTTATAATTAAAATTTGGTATTTGATTCATACAATGAACCTGTACGAAAAATACATATTTTCCTTCTCTATTTTTTAAAGCAAGATTAATACAAGAAAATCTATTCTAATCGCTCCTTCTTAAGATTGCTGAAAATGGGCCTAAGAAAAGGTCCACATGAACATGTGAAATAAACTGTTTTTAATCTTAAAGGAAAAAAAATAGAGTTTCTCCTAAAAAATGACAGCAACAGAAGTTCAATGAAAACGAAGAGGTTGGGAGTTTTGTATCACACTGCAAGATCTCATGTGATGACCTCAGCAAAGTCGGAGATGGCTGGAAGTGATGCCTGCACAAGAAATGGCCTCTTTCCAGATTATCTAAAAGTGAGTCAATTATGCAACTGTACTAAGTCTTGGAGAGGTAATATAAAGACCTGCTTCTTCTGACCTTCCAGAACAGAACAGCCAAAATGGGACAGTGAATTTTTTCATCATTAAGTTCAAGAGCTCTGTTTTAGGTTTTCTTCACTTTAGAAAAGGTTTTACTCTAAGATACTGAGTGATTATTTCTTGTGAAAATTCAGAGAAACAAAATCAGCAACCTCAGGATGCACGTTTTATTCCTGGTGAGTGGGAAAGTGATAACTGTCAGAAGATGTCCCGGAATGGCCAATCTGCTGGTTTCCACAAGTTTGCTTAGGAAGAATAAAACTATTTTGTTCATTTCAGGATAAAGGAGTGGCAAGCGACGTTCCATTTTGTAACTGGAGAAGAGAAATCACTGAAATCTCCGGACGCATCGTGGCCTAATTATACCAGTATTAGGAAGGCAAATTTTCTTTTCTATTGTGAACTGTCTTGTGTGAACGCTGACAGCTGCATAAATTTAATTTGATCACGCTATTTTCTTTTTTTAGTCAAGCAGAAGATGCTGAACTCCAGATTAGCTAGATTTCCTATGAGAAATCCTGTGAGGATCTAGAAATATTTAATATCTTTCATCTTAAAACCAGCAATTTCTTGTCTTTCTAATTTCGCTCAGATCATTATTTGTTCTCAGGAAGCAGCTGTGAGCTTATTTTAACTGTGGAGAGGGAAACGCTTAGCAGGGGGTGTGACTATGAGCACCATCCATCCCCTTGCCCGGTACACTCTGACTTTTTAGAGAGCTATTTAGTAACTGATAGGACTTCGAACATAGACTGAAGACCCACCAATAATTAGCAGTCTCCAGAGTGAGCTGCAGGCCAAGAACTGATCCTTAACATGTAATTATCAATGACTCACCGCAGCGGGAGGTAAATGACACAGACACTGACACCAGCTTAGCACCATGGGAATCAGAGTCCTTGCAGAGGGAGGAGACGAGGACGACCATACCCCAGGATGCTCTTTCCAAATCACGCGTTTCGTTTTGGAGAAATCTAACCTCCAAGGTTTCTACAAGGTTATTAATTTAGATGCCCCCAATTGTCAATTCTTGATAAGAAGGTCTGGTTTAAGCCAGACAGAATATTTTGTCTAAGTAAGAAAGTAAGCCTGTCTAGAATTTTAGTTTTTTGTATGTACACATACATATATATATGTGTGCCTTGAAGATAGATTAATTTAAAAACCTGTTCTTGCTATTTTTTTATTTATTTGCAAGTCAGAGTTACACAGAGAGGAGAGGCAGAGAGAGAGAGATCTTCCATCCACTGATTTACTCCCCAACTGATCCAAAGCCAGGAGCCAGGAGCTTCTTCCGGGTCTCCCACGTGGGTGCAGGGCCCAAAGACTTGGGCCATCTTCTACTGCTTTCCCAGGCCACAGCAGAGAGCTGAATTGGAAGTGGAGCAGCCGGGACTCAAACCAGCACCCATACGGGATGCTGGAGCTTCAGGCCAGGGTATTAACCCGCTGCACCACAGCGCCAGCCCCAGTGTTCTTGCTATTTTTAAGAGCAGACTCCAGAGGCCGGCAATGTGGTGTAGTAGGCTAAACCTTGGCCTGCGGCGCCGGCATCCCATATGTGTGCCAGTTCCTGTCTTGGCTGCTCCACTTCTGATCTAGCTCTCTGCCTGCAGCCTGGGAAAGCAGTCAAAGATGCCCCAGTTGCTTGGATCTCTGCTTGGTGTGGGAAACCCGTAAAAACCTCCTGGCTTCTGACTTCGGGTTGGCTCTGCTCCAGCCATTGTGGCCATTTGGGGAGTAAACCAGTGGATGGAAGACCTTTCTGTCTGCCTGTAACTCTACCTCTCAAAATCTTTAGAAAAAAGAAAAAAGCAGACTCCAGGGTTAGTTAGCTGGGTGGCTAAGATGCTTGTTTCCCACAGTGCCTGAGCTACAGCTCCTGCCTCTGGCTTCCTGCTAATGCAGACCCTCGGAGGCAGCAGTGATGCCTCAAGCAACTGGGTCCTTGCCATCCACACTAGAGATCAGGACTGTTTTCCTGGCTTCTGGCTTCTGGTTTCAGCCCAGCCCAGCCATGGACACCGTGAGCTTTTAGTGAGTGAACCAGCAGATGCAAGATCCCTGTTTCTACCTGTTCCTCTGTCTCTGCCTTTCCAAAAAGTGAATCCAAAAAAAAAAAAAAAAAAAAAAAAAAAAAAGGATTCCAAAGGGCTTCTGATTTTCTGATTGACCGCACTTAGGTTAGCCTGCTTTGCAACACTGTATTTCTTAAAAATAATATATTCTTGGGGCCAGCGCCATAGTTCACTTTGTTAATCCTCCGTCTGTGGAGCCGGCATCGTCTGCGACACCGGCATCCCATATGGGCACCAGATTCTGTCCCGGTTGCTCCTCTTCCAGTCCAGCTCTCTGCTGTGGCCCGGGAGGGCAGTAGAGGATGGGCCAGGTGCTTGGACCACTGCACTGGCATGGGAGAACAGGAGGAAGCACCTGGTTCCTGGCTTCGGATCGGCGCAGCGCACCGGCTGTGGCAGCCATTTGAGGGGTGAACCAATGGAAGAAAGACCTTTCTCTCTCTCTCTCTCTCACCGTCTTAACTCTATTTGTCAAATAAAACAAAATAATATATTCTTTAAGACGATGGCCATGCCTTATTTATCCACCAATACTGAGAATTAGGATACTCTATGCTAGAAGGCTATCGAGATGAGAGACAGAGGGAGAAGAGACAGACACACAGATCAGAGACTGCAACAGATGTAGAAAATTAGCGTTGGAAGAGAATTTGGAGAATTCAATGCTCCTCAAATTCTTTCAATAAAATCTTGAGTTTCATCTTAAAATTCACGTCGCGGGGTGGGCATTTGGCATAGCAGTTAAGCACTGCTTGGGATGCCTGCACACCATATGCGAGTGTCTGGGTTCCACTCCCAGCCCCCCTCCCGATTCTGGCTTCTGAGTAGTGTGCACACTGGGTGAGGCAGCAGTGACGGCTCAAGTAGTTGGGTCTCTGTCACCCACTCCCACTCTGGACAGGGACCAAGTTTCAGCTTCCACCTGGTCTGGGCTCAGCCACTGCAGACATGTGGGGAAGGAACCAGATGACAGGAGCTGTTTCTCAAAAATTAAATAAATAAAAATAAAAAATAAATAAAATGAAAAAAAATTTCATCTTGATTTTGTGTTCTACCAAGGAACATCTGTGTTCATTTTTAACTCAAAAAACACATTTTCTCTCTAAAATCTCTGAGTACAACTGAGGGACGAGAAAGGTTTCTGTCTGCTCTGTGGGTTGAAGTGTCTCCAAACCTCCATGGGAACAGCTGGTACAAATTCCTCACTTCTCCAGGAAGCAGATGCAGAGACGAGAAACGATTCGCAGGGCCTGTCAGGGAGAGCAGGATTGGAATGCAAGTGTCTGGACAGCGACACAGCACTCCATGGTAAGACAACTCTCACTCCTTCTGGAGGGAGGTCTTAGAATCTCCCCATCCTGCAGTGCTTGCAGAACCAGACCATCCCTGAGTCACATAGCCTGGGACCACCATGCTGCTGCCTCCAGTGGATCTGGGCCAGGTAACCACCTGCCGGGGTCACAGGCTTTGATGAAGGTTTGAGATGATGCAGTCATCTCACAGTGTCTGAGGACCCCTCCTAGGTACAAAATCCACATTGCTCACGTCCTTCATATAAAATGACACAGTATTTGCATATAACCCAGGCACAGGTACTTCACAAGGTTTGTGGAGAATGCAGTTAAAAGAGCAGTTTATTTTGCTGCAAAAATTTCTTGCACATGAGGGGGTGTTGCACAAGTTCATAAAAACCGTGTATCATGCAAAAACTATGCATGGATTTCAAAAAAGTTCTGCATCAAAATAAACTCTTTTAATCCATTTTTCCCCATGAACTTTTTCAAGTGGCTATGTCCTTAATTCATATTTAGATTATTTACGATACCTGATACAATGTGAATGTTGTGCAAG